GTTGTGGGGAGGGGAAGGGAAAGGAGTTTGTAAGCCGCTCTGAGACTCCAAGGGAAGGGCGGGGTATAAATCCAATCTCTTCTAGGGACATTTTCTAAAATGGCATCTGAGGGAGAAGAGGATATTCAGTTCACTATTGTGCCTTTATATCCCAAATACTTTAGCGTGTTGTTTTAAAACTTGTGGAAAAGTGGAGTTCTTCAGAACACTTAGTTTGGTTGATCTGTGAAAGGAACGCTGCTTACTCACCCCTTCCAATCTTCTCATGCAAGATGCACTCAGAGAATCTCCTGACACCCATTAGCACAGGACAGCAGCAAAATCCTATAGACCCGGGCCGTGCCCCACACCATGCATCAGCTACATTCCAGAACATTCTGCAGGTTCTCTGCAATGCACAGCAGTTCTGCAGGGGGTACTCCAAGGTTCCTAGATAGAGAAGGTAATATGGGGATTGTCTGATTGAAGACAGAATGCTGAAAACCACTGGTCTGGAATAATTACCGCCCTTCTGGCCTTATCGTAGCGGTTATGAATTAACATTAAAAAGGCGTCTGTATGAGTGTGACGCTGCAGTGAATGTGTTAAGAGTGCAAAAAGTAAATGATTTCTTAAGCCAGGGGTGACATAAAATGGGTGGCTGGAGGCTGAAACCAGCAGCGATAAGTTAGACGTTCTGAAGGTAGTGGGGAGAAGTTTGAATTGCCGTACTGGAAAATAGACGTTAGATTTCTCCTCCAGGACAGGCAGCTATACAATCAGAGAGAAAAATATGCATCCATGTCCCCCATGGCACTTTTAGTATGAAGTGTGTGTGTGTGGGGGGGGCTCCTGCTACCGTTCCCATTTTGCAGACGGAAGAAGAGGAGATTGGATTTATACCCCACCCTTCACTGCCCAAGGGAGTCTCAGAGCGGCTTGCAAACTCCCTCCCCCTCCCCACAACAGACATCCGGGGAGGTCGGTGGGGCTGAGAGAGCTCTTTCAAGAACTGCTCTTTTTCAAGGACAGCTCTTATCAGAACTATGGCTTGCCCAAGGTCATCCAGCAGGTGCGAGTGGAGGAGTGGGGAATCAAACCCGGTTCTCCCAGATTAGAGTCCGCGCACTTAGCCACGACACCAAACTGAGGCAAATCGTCCCCATATATTGGCGGGGTCTCTCTTGCATTGCTCTGGTTAGCAAAAGGCCCTGGAAAGCCGCCTTCAGAAACCTGGAATTGCGGAGGTACTTTCCCCCTTCCTAGCTGCAGGGTTCAGAGGCTGGGCAGGGCTGATTTTGAAGGTGACAGTGGAGTGAACGGGGAAGGAAAGGTTGCAGAGAGTGGTGTGTGTGTGTGTGCGGAGGGGGGGAGAACGGTATTCTTTCTTGCAGGTGCATCTCTCCGAGAGCAAGCGTGGGAGGCCCTCCTGGCATGCATTGACAGCTTGAGCCGTCAGCCTGTCTCCTCCAGTGACAAGGGGGGGGACACGACTTGCATCTTAAGCAGTTTTTCTCCCTTCTCTCTCTCGCTCTTGGGCCCGTTGCCTTTCCTCCCCTTTTGGGATCTCTTTGTCACCGCGCAGCCTTTAACGTCCCGTAGCAGGCAGCCCAAAGAACCAAGACTCCGCTCTCAGAGGCAGGCTTCAAGCCACGACACCCATGAGAAAAGGAGAAGGCACTTCTGATCAGCCACAGCAGGCCTCCCTGTCGCACGGCAGCCTGCTTCTCCCAGAGGGTTGCCAGCCTCCTGGTGGGGCCTGGAGATCTCCTGGAATTTCAGGTGATCTCCGGTCTGCAGAATTTAGTTCCTCTGGAGAAAAATGGCTGCTTGGGAGGGTGGACTCTGTGGCATCATATTGAGAGCCAGGGTGTGTAGTGGTTAAGAGAGTTGGATTAAGAACATAAGGAAAGCCACTGCTGGATCAGACCAGCGAGGGTCCATCTAGTCCAGCTTCCCCTCTCACACAGGGGCCAGCCAGTTCCTCCGGAGGACCAACAAGAGGGCACAGAGGCCTCGGCCTTCCCGTGATGTTAATAATGTAAGAAGAGCCCTGCTGGGTCAGGCTAGTGGTCCATCTAGTCCAGCTTCCCGTCTCACACAGTGGGCAACCAGTTCCTCAGGAGGACCAACAAGAGGACACAGAGGCCGAGGCCTTCCTCTAATGTTAAGAATGTAAGAAGAGCCACTGCTGGGTCAGACCAGTGAGGGTCCATCTAGTCCAGCTTCCCATCTCACACAGTGGCCAACCAGTTCCTCAGGAGGACCAACAAGAGGATACAGAGGCCGAGGCTTTCCCCTAATGTTAATAATGTAAGAAGAGCCACTGCTGGGTCAGACCAGTGAGGGTCCATCTAGTCCAGCTTCCCATCTCACACAGTGGCCAACCAGTTCCTCTGGAGGGCCAACATGACAGCATAAAGGCTGCGACCTTTCCCAGATGTTGCCTTCTGGCTCTGGGATTCAGGGCTTTAGTGCCTCTGAACGTGGAAGCTCCCCTCAGTCACCATGGCTAGTAGCCACTGGTAGACTTAATGACAGCATAAAGGCTGCGACTTTTCCCAGATGTTGCCTCCTGGCTCTGGGATTCAGGGGTTTAGTGCCTCTGAACGTGGAAGCTCCCCTCAGTCACCATGGCTAGTAGCCACTGGTAGACTTAACCTCTGTGAATCTATCCAATCCCCTTTAAAGCTGTCTGTTCCTGTGGCCCTCGCTGCATCCTCTGGCGGCCAATTCCACATTTTTATCACTCCCTGTGTATTTCCTTTTGGTCAGGTTCGAATCCCCCACTCGTGACATGGAAGCTTGCTGGGTGACCTTGCGCCAATCACACTCACCTCAGCCTAGCCTACCTCACAGCGTTGTTGTGAGGATAAAATGGAGAAGAGAATGTGTCAGCCGCTTTGGGTCCCCGTTGGGGAGAAATGCGAGGTCTAAATGAAGTAATTAAAAAAAAAAATACCCTACTGTGGTCCATCCCCTCCCCTGGTCTCCACCCTCAAAACTCCCGCAATTTCCCAAACTTAGTCTCCCATATACCTAAGAACTGGAGGGCCTTTTATCCCGAATCCCCAAAGGAGAAGAATGCAGCGGGTTCTGGTGCAGTCGCCAGAACTGTGGAATGTCAGAATCCATCCACCCTTCTTCAAGGTGTATGGGCTTCAGCAGTCCCCTGTTGAATTCCTACCTCTGCCACCCCTAAACCACACTTTTAAAACTACTGGTGCTCTTTGTTCAGATCCAGGGACCCTTTTATATTCTTGAACGGCTCTCAGCAAGGCAGATGCCCAACAATGGCGGCAGGGCTTTTTTGGTAGAAAAGGCCCAGCAGGAACTCATTAGCATAATAGGCCACACCCAACAGCAGAAACTCATTAGCCTATTAGGCCACACCCCTGACAGCACAGCACATTAGCATATTAGGCCACACCCATGCCTCCCCTTGGTTTGCCTGGGTGCTCTGCAATTGCGGGGAGCCCGGGCAAGCCAGCCCTTCCAGGGGCCCCCCTGGCCTGCCCACCTCGGAGTTACCGGGGGGGG